GCCTCCTCTTCTCCCCCTAGAACCACGGGATGTGGCCCGGCTAGCCACTACTGAGGCTCCCGCAGCAAGTCCCCTAGGGTTGTTCCTCGTCAGCATACGTCTACCCTCCATTTCTACAAAGAAATTTGAACGATTCGTTAGACTCCAATCAATGTCAATTGACGGAACACGTTATAGACACATATTGGCCCAAGTCACCGCCATACCAATTGTTAAGGGTACCATCTTAACAACTAGAGACCTTGCACTCTAGGTAACAATAGTTCTATGAACGTCAAAATACAATGCTCATGGTTTTCGGAAGAATTATTTTTGCAAAATCTCTTGTGAGAGGTTGATTACATAGTTTAGAACTAAGATGACTCTGATACCACTTAATTGTCACGCCCCAGACCGCATCTAAGCGCGTGTACAACCGCCGTATGACTAAGTGACGTTACTCGCAAGTCAACGTGACTTAATCATGCAAGGCGTCCATTAACAAATTCATCCATACTCAGTAGTAAACGCACATAACAACATCACAGTTTAGATTAATCGTATAGCGGAAATATTCAATAATCAATCGTGAGCCACACATGGCCAAAACGTGGGCTCGCAGGCCCAAAACAATGTATATGTCACATTAAATATCGATGAGCATAGTTTGTAGTTTTAAAACATTAAAGTAAGCACGAACCACGTCTTCCTTTAGATCACTCCGCCGAACAAGATGCAGATAGCAAGCTTTAGCTTCAACCTGAAAAATGGTGGGCCCCCTCGAAGGGGTCAGTACAAGTACCGAGCGAGTAGCAAGCTAAATGTAGCATAACTAACGTTTCAAGTATAAGACCCAAACATAGGGTGATACATACACGTATAGTACTTTCCCCCAAGTTATGAAATACATATCAGTATATATACACTTGGAAATACCCGACCCGTAGGTCATTGTTTATTTTGGAAAATCTTAGTAGCCAATATCCTTGACTTAAATCCCAACCCACCCATATCCTATGAGTGTATAGGACTCCTCCTGGTCCAAATCATCTTATTCATACGAGTTTGAGGAGAGTACCGTCGTCATTAGATTCTCTACCATTTATACATATGAGTTTTGAGGACTCTTTAGCCCTTGGGTTCTCCACCGAAATATATATATACATATATATTCCGAGTTTTAAGGACTGTTTAGTCCTTGGGTCCTCCACCATATGTATTCCGAGTTTTGAGGGTTCTTTAGCCCTTGGGTCCTCCACTGATGTACATATGAGTTTTGAGGACTCTTTAGTCCTTGGGTACTCCACCATATGCATATAAGTTTTGAGGATTCTATAGTCCTTGGGTTCTCCACCGAAATATATATATTACGAGTTTTGAGGACTCTTTAGTCCTTGGGTTCTCCACCATATGTATATAAGTTTTGAGGACTCTTTAGTCCTCGGGTTCTCCACCATATGTATTCCTATGATCTACCTCATATCAATCTAGATAGGGTCCATTTCATAATCCTTTATCAAGGCTAAATCAAGTCTTATAGCCTAAGCATAACAATCCATGCAAATCCATGCACAAAAATCAACATTCGGGACAAACGACACCAAACCGGCACCGGTTATAGCCCAAACCAGCGCCGGTTCATATTTAATTAAATTAATTTGGCTGCCCCGTACTCAAACCGGCGCCGGTTATAGCCTAAACCGGCGCCGGTTCGCTTTCTTCTTTGCGGTCAACGGCCCGTTGACCGCCCGAACCGACTCCGATTGATCCGAAACTTAACCCAAACATGAATTAAGTCTTAAACAATCAATATTTCCCATTTTTTCCATCCAAAACATCACACATGTTTCTATATCATTTTCATATCATTTCTCATGCATAAGCATCATGGTTCATTTCATATATGCTTAATCAGCATGGCTAATCACATGTTTAAACCATTTTAAACATCATTATAAACACATATTGCATTTACTTAGGTAATCTGATACTTAACCCAACGGTTACGAGACATTAAACCATCCACTCACCTTGAATGAGCTTTAAGAAGTTCTACCCTTCCCGGTTGGACTCCGGCGAAGCTCCAGCGAACTTTGACAAATTCCGGCGAAAACTCCGGCGACTCTTTCAACTCCGTGAAAGCTCTAGGAACACCTTAGACAAGTTCCTAACAAGTTTTTATCATCATAAAACCCATATCAACAAGAGTAAGCTCTAAAAGGTTATTTTCCGGCGAACCGGTCACTTTGGATTCTAAGCCCGTTCTTGGACTTAGAACTACCTTCCAACCCCTCATTATACATTTCTAAACATGTAGATCTTCTCTAGGGGTTCCTCATATGCTATAAAAGTCATATGAAATTTAAGTGAAGGAAGAAAAGTTACTAAAGAGCTTCTTACCTCTATTCCCAAGGTTTTTCTCTTCTTATGCAACTTCTTTTTCTTCCTTGAGCTCCTTGTTGTTTGAGCTTGCCTTGGCTATGGAGGATACTAGTTTCAGATCTTATTTATCTTGCCTAGAGGTTGCTTATTCGAAATTGAGTGACAGAGGGAAGTAGGGATAGTCCTTTTGTCTCATTGATCAAATGAGTGTGGATGGGAGGTCCACCTCATGTCGTCTCCTCTTGCTCAATACATCTCCTCAGCCCCGTCTCACCACTCGTCCATGTTTTGCAGCTCACAAAAGTCAACATAGATAACCTAAAAACGTGGGGTGGCCCCCACTCATGTGGGAGGTCATCCAAATATATCCCGAACTGTACATTCAGCCCCGAAAGTTGTATTTCTCGGACTGTTTTAATTTTATTTTATTTTATCGAGGCAATAAAATATATCACATGTTCCAAATCACTATAGGCCTTTAAAATTAATATACATTCCTCAACTTTAATTTATAAGTATCCGAAATTCATTTCGAACTGTTATCCGTTAAATTACCAATACTAGTAATTGGGCCTCATTTGACCAATCGGTCAACTATATGCTTGTTCCATGGCCCAACTAGGATATCCACCACCATATACATACTATGTAGACCAAGATGAATATATTATGTGGTCTCGGAAATATAGGGCGGTCCCCGCTCCCGATGTGGGCCCCACGTGCAATTCAATATTCACGCAAAAGTAATAACAAAAAAGTTTACAACCTCGTAAATTCATTAACCAGTTCATAAGGTTCAATACATGATTTACATAAAAGTAAATATAATTGGGGACGGTGTTACAGTCAGGGTCGGGATGTGGTCGAGGTAGGGGCAGGTGGTAGGGTTAAAAGGGTAGGGTCGAGGTAAGGGGTACCGTTGGGGTAGGGGGTAGGGTCGGGTCAAGGTAGGTGAAGTTTGTAGGGGGTAAAGGGGTAGGGTAAGGGGTGAGGGTGGGGTGGGGTTGGGCTGGGGTAGGGGTAAATGGGGGCTGGGGTGGTAGGGTAGGGGTTGGTTAAGGTGGTGGGGGAGAGGTCGGGTGTAATACCCGAGATTAATTTAAGAGGATTAATAGTACTACTCATACCAATAAGATGCATCTCCTTTTAAGGGAGTTCATTAGCCAAGAACTCCAAAGTTAAGCGTGCTTTCACGAGAGTAGTCTTGGGATGGGTTACCCCCTAAGAAGTTTCTCAGGGCGCGCACGAGTGAGGACAAAGTGCGCAGAAAAGGCTAGTGGCGATTTGTGAGGACAGTACTAGAGGTCAGAAATAACTACCTCGGGGCCTACAGGGCCGGGGTGTTACATCGGGATTGGGGTGGGGTCGAAGTAGGGGCATGTTGTAAGCGGTAAAAGGGTAGGGTCGGGGTAGGATAAAGGTAAGGATTACTAGTGGGGGGGTTGGGGTCGAGGTGGGGTCAAGGTAGGGGCAGGTGGTAGGGGTAAAAGGGTAGAGTCGAGGTAAGGGTTCAAGTGGGGGTAGGGGGTAGGGTGGGGATGGGGTTATGGGTGGGTCGAGGTAGGGGTAGGGGGTAGGGGTGGGGTCAGGGTCAGGTCAAGGTATGGGAAGGTGGTAAGGGGTAAAGGGTAGGGTAAGAGGTGAGGGTGGGGTTGGGGTAGGGTAGGTGGTGGAGGGTAGGGTGGGTTGTGGGTATGGTCGGTCAAGGGTGGGGTCGAGGGGTCGGGGTTGGGGTCGAGGTAAGGCGTAGGTTAGGGCCGGGTAGCAATTAGGGTAAGGGCAAGGGGTAAAGGTAAGGGTAAATTCGGAAAGTGAAAAAGATTAAAGTGTCAATTAATTAATACATGGGAGTGGTATGTTTAATAAGCGGCACTTTAAGCACCTATTTCGATTAGTAAGTAGCGTTTTAAGAGAGAAGTAAACGTCTTCTAAGAGAATTAAGCCTCTCAGCCGTCCATGCATCGAGATCTCAATCCCGTTCTTGTATTCAACATTTAACCGCCTGTTCCAACTTCATCCAAAGCAGAATTTGCTTAATGGCAATCACGAACGATGCTCAACACATATCTCTATCCATTTCACCTCCATTACATTCGTCTCTTCATCCAGAGCACCCCATATCAAGCCAATTTTCCTGCTGCAAATCCATTTTTTAGTGCAGATGGTCGAAATATCCCACCTAAGTGCCCTTCATGGACCGTGTGGACGTGAACAACTATAAGTAGTAGCCCCCTTTTGTAATTTATTGGTTGCAAATGAGCGCCCAGAACTGCTGGTTGCAAATAACTTATTTCTCAAAGCTGCTCTATATTCTGATTGTTTCAAGAATGTATGCTTTCTTCTGGTTTCTTTTGGACCTAAGGAAAAAAATTGTGTGTCACCGTGTCATTTGGTTGACTACAGACCTTTTCAAATTCTAGATTCTAGGAGAAGCTAATTGAGATTTGATATAATCCTATCCTATACATATCAAAGCAATACAATTTCTTCTTTTCATTTTCCCGCTCAAGTTTGTTGAAATGAGTTTTGGGTTGTTGGAAATACTTTCTTGAGATAGCGACTTCGAGTCTCGAGCTTTGTTTCTTCCTAACGTTGCGGTTTATTCTTAGAAATCACGTCCAACACTAAACACAAAGAGCGTCAAAGAAAAATAATTTGCATTTGTAGAGGAGTAAAAAGAGATTGACTTTGCCAAATAACCTGATCTTGTTAAAAGTATGTAGAAGTTGCGAATGAACATATGATCATACTACTATTACATTTTAAAAAAGTGTCTAATAAAACTTAGGAGATCATCCAAAAATTAAATTCCACAGTGGAACGACCAAAAGTCTTAGACTTTGATTTGTTATTTCATATTTAACTGGTGTAGTCGATGCTAGAGAAACTCTTGAACATTAGCTATTCCTTCAAATCCATGAGCATAATGGTGCTTAAATTCATGGGAGTAATGTAGTGATTTGCTCCAGTCAAAATGGATTGGACAATAATCCGATTCGCCCGTTCAGTGGGATGAAACGCGTCCCAAAATGCATACTCATCTCGGTTCGGACACAAGTTCGATGCAGCCGTGCAAAGCCCGATTCCATTGTACGGTCCTTGTCCACAACATGCTACCTTTGTGGAAACAAATCCATAGGATTGGGGGTTGTTGATGAAGTCGTTTTGCAGTTTCATGGCATTGACAGCGACGAAGACGTCGAAGCCGAGTTGTTCGTTGAGATCAGCAAGCATTTCAATGAGAAGTGGGTTGAAAATCTCTGCGGCTAGTTGCGGCTCCACCGCGCACTGCCCGTTTGTGCTCCTTGTGGCAAGCTCTGCCGGAACGCAACCCATCGGTCCTGTACCCGTCACCAATACTCTCCTGCATCCCAACTCGTATAGCCTCTGATTAAAAAATACACATGCCAACGGTTAGCTTATTATGCTAATCAAATTGACGTAGTTCACTGTTGGGTGAGCTGAGATCACTTAGCTAAGTCATAATGAACTAGACTCAAATCATATGAACAAGTTGGATGTAATCAATTAACTAATTCAATCTTTGAATGTTATATATACGTCTCCTTTGAATATTGTGGTTTCAAGTAAAAATTAATTTCCCCATTAAAAGTGAAAACAAATCATCTTTAATCACTTACTAATGGACATATTAGATGAACTTCAATCAGAAGACACGCTGTAGTAAAAAAGTGAAAATGTTTATAGTACCAAGGGGATAGTTAATTAATAAAACTACACTCATTAGTGTTAAAAAAGATTGTCAAATTTTTCTAACTTGTGCACTTTTTACTTTATATTATGATGCACGCACTTTTCTACTTTACATGTACAATGTTATATATTTTGATACACATTTTTAGAATGCTTTCGTTAAAAGTTCTTTTTTTTACAACAAAGGGTTTGGGGAGGAGGACTCGGGGGGCTTAGGGTAAATAAGGCTGAAATTCTCATAGTGAAGTTTCGAACTCGAGATCTGGGCTCCGGCCAAAACTAGTACATTCTTATTTTTCACCTAGGAAACACTTCTTTTTACCCAATTCAATGTGTGTGTGTGTGTGTATTCTGGATCAAATAAAAACCTTTCTTCCCGTGAAAACTACAAACCGATCACTTTTCCCCCATTCTGATGCACTATTAGCTTTCTATATTGCACTTTTTCACGAAGACATACAACTTTGACTTATTTACAAAAGTGCCACCGTTTTTTTCTATTTGAAATGATTCGACCAAAGTTTAAAAAGTGCAAGAGATGAGCTTTAAAGTGAATCAAATTGAGTCAAAAGTGACGATTTGCAGTTTGCACGATAAGGATGATTTTTATCGGAACCGCACCCTATATATATATATAGAGAGAGAGAGTTTATATACTTATATATATAGTCACGACGGTTATCTTTTTTTGTCAAATAACTCGTTTTCTTTATTTAATCCCATTATTTTCTTTTTTTTTTTTTTATAATCCAGGTGTCGGGCTTACGCTCCCATAATCCTGGAGTCTATGAACTACCCTCCAAAGCCCCTAGACAGTTAAGTCCGTGAAGGTAGGAAGAATCATTGGGAGCAAGACCTCCCTCCTCTCCCCTAAATGTGCCTAGCGGGATTCGAACTCGAGACCTCCGCTAGGACACGGTAACCTTCCACCCAGTGAGCTGGAATGGCTGGTTAAATATTTTAGTTGTTGGGTAGACAAAATATTTCTCTAGTCCTGGATTGAGATAAAATTCGTTGTTTTCAAGAAATATATTAGTATGTTCGGTCTTCTTTTTAGATCAAAGATGCCACGTTCTTACATAAGCATTGACTCTTTAAATTGCCAAGAAAATTAAATTGATTAAGAAAAAGTAGTAATTAAGTACTGAACTACGTTACTTACCATCAAGATCTTGCGATATTCAGAAATGAGATAATTACAAAAATTAGGAATGGTGAACTGAAGACGGCGGGCGGTGACCGGTACCAAAAAATAGTTGTTGACGAAGTCATTGCCACCAACAGTGATGAGGGTCAACGCCTGGTTGACCAGCCTCGCCGCCTCTTCTCCGCCTATCAGACTCCCCACTCTCTCTTTGTACGCCTCGAACATCTCCAGCTGTTGCCCCATTCTTATAATGTTTGCCTATACAATATAAAGAGGATTTTTAAGGACATGTGACAATAAACTAGCTTCTCATCCTATGTAGTATAATATATAGTATAAAGAGATCACGGGTGGCTCAGTTGGTTCAGGGGTGAGAAATTTGAAACGATGATCAAGGTTCAAAACTCGCAGCAATCGTGTGGAGGTTACAATTCCTGTGTGTTGGGCTGGACCTCTGGTGCACGGGTATAAGGTCTACCATCATTGGGCTGACTGAGTGAACGTGACTTACATCCTTCCAAAAATCTTGTCGGCGGGGCCGTCTTTTAGGAGGTGCAATAGGTGTTTGCCACCGGGGCTCACTCTTGTATGACGACTCTAAAAATTTAGAATGTAGTATTAGTTATAGATTGATTTTCCTAGATGTTAGGTACGGAGTATTATTCAAGATTCTAAAAGGTAAAGAACTTTTAGAATCTCTAATTTGTGTACTTTAAACATCATAAAACTTCTATTTCATTGAACTTTCTAGTCTATTTGTATTTCATTGTTAAATTTCTACGTTTTCTTGTTTTAGGAGGGTTCAATTTATCATTTGAAACAGAGGCCTCCACATTCATTAGACGACCCTCCTTGTCGGATCATGATGTGAAGGGCGCTTGGGGTTGTGGATTCCATCTTTTGAAACCATTGAAATATGAGATGAATTGAAGATAGAAGAGTACACCTAGGCAGAGTGGTCAATTGGGTCAACTGGTCAACAATAAAAGCTCAAGACTAAAAAGCTCATTAATTGTGTCATTACCAAAAAAAGGAAATAACAGATCATTCTTAATAAGCTTGGGCTTACAAATTGAAAGCCAGTGTCGCCAAGAATTCCAATTCCGGCAGAAGCAAAATTTGCACCAACGAGCAGCTTTTCACCCTTAAGTTGTGGGTTCAGGTAGGCCAATGTTGCCTCTGAACCTATAGCCTCACCTGCGCTCCATAATTGTACCAATCTTTAGAGAGTTATTATAGGCAGTTTTAAGGAATCATATCTAACTCCCGAAGTTACATTGAGTATTGCGTCACTATATATTAACACCATTTATCTTATCAGTGAAGGTTCTTACTAAAAAATACCCATAAAATTCTTCCCACTTTGACTTGGCATAGAGATTAAGAAAGTGGAATAAAGTGGAAATGTATGATTGTGGTTGTGTAAGAAAAAATAAAATGAATGTAGACCACACAAATTGTCCAAAAATGGTAAGTTAGAAGAATTTTTTGAGACAGCCTAAAAAAGAAAGTGAGAAGAATTTTATGGGACAAATGGAGTAAGAGATGTCGATGATGTTTCAATACTCCATGCGACTCCACCACAAGGGAGTCGCACAAGATTCCCTAAAAATTTTGAAGTAATTATAACAACATATACAGATATAATCTTTCAAGTTTCAATCTCTATTTTAATTATTGTAATTTCTCTTAGGACAAGTAACTAAGTAAAGTCTTATTTCAAAAACTTGTTGTTCCTAATATGGTATAGAAATAAAACTTAAAAAAGTAATTATAAGATATACGGAGTAGTTTTTGTATGTTTGTAGTCAGCAAAAGTTAATAATAATATCACTATATAAATATGTTATACTACGTATTAATTGTGTTCGTTACTTTTGTTTTAGTCAAATATGTACGATTGTACAGAGTAATTATTTTCAAATAATACTAATTTATGTCGTAACTTGTAAGCAGTTACTATACTGTAGAGTGCACAAAACAGTATAATAAATTGATTCAGTCCAATAAATGACCATTTCCTAGAGACAAATTATGAAGTGGATTAAGAGAATCAAGATAAGAAAAAAAACTAACTGATAAGGTCAGGAATGTTATAGCCGTTGGAGAAGCGACCCGTGGCAGAATGAGTGGGGTAGTCGATCCCGTAAGGTGGGGAGTCGGCACGGGCCGATGTTACCAAATAATTGTTGTTGCCATTGTCCACAAGTGAATCGCCGAACACAAAGAAAGGTCGGGTTGCCTCGGAACAGCCCCAAATTGTGGCGGCCACCACCACAAAAATGGTGGCAGCACTGACTAGAGTACTATAAGCCATAGTATTGCCAGAAAAACTTCCGTACGTACAAAGAATGATGGTGATGGAAATGAGGAGGTCTCACTTCTCAGCTAGCTAGCTTTCTAGTGTCCTATTTTGTTGGGTTACTATGATCTTATTATATACTGTAACTAGCAGAAAGGCAGTAGTGGCCCAAGAAGGATGGTGGTGGTTAGGAAGTAATAAATGGGCTGGGCGGGCCTCTCCGATCCCTGAATTCCTTCAATTGCGTTATGTCGTACTGTTCCACACATGCAAGTGGTCAGTAGGGGACACAATATTTCCAATTGAGAGAGTGGGGTCCGCCTCTGGCATAGCGCATTGCCCACGAAACTGAAGCCCTCAAGGTCAAGACTACGTCAAGCTAGGACTCCTAATTTTTATATGTCCAAACTTGTAAGAGGTTTTGAGTGCAAATGACTAATTCAAGCTAAGTGATTTACTTCCCGCACTTTGTTAAGAGTGCAACCTTATTTTTCGGTTTATCAGTCAACTTTTTCATCAAACACGTAATTTTTGATTTCGTTCGTTGATTTGTGTGATAATAAGAAAAAGTAAGATTGAAGTTACTTTTCTGGCTGTATTGGTTCAAGTTACAGTAGAGAACCATTTTGGCTATCTATTCATATAATTTTTTATTTATTTTATTAATAACATACTCCCTCCGTCCCAGAATTTACTTCCATAGTACAAATGGGACACGGATTAAGAAAGTGAGAATTGTGTGATGGAGAGTTGTGCAGAGGAGAAAGAAACGTGTAAGAATGTGTAAAAATTGATGTGAACCACAAATTCTGTGCCAAAAAGAGAAAAGGAAGTTCTTTTTGGGACATACTAACAGGGAAAGTTGGAAGTAAGTTATGGGACGGAGGGAGTATATTTTAAATATAATTGTTTCATAAATCAACAGAATCAGCTAATTAAGCCACTTCATCTAGAATTTCAGAAATTTTATCATAATCAACCGATTTTAATACTACCAAACATGCTCTAAATGATGATCTTCTCGTGATCTCGTCCTAGAGGGTAGAGCTAGCTCGAATAGTAGCACAGCACAACAAACGTTTTGTCTCGGTTCAAGCATCAGTGTGGAATTTGTTTCTTATTGGTAACGTGTTGGTGTTTCACCAATTGATGTGTGGTTCTCCCTACAGCTGTGTTGAAAACCTGAGCATACATGCACCACATGTATCAGCATACGTTTTAGGTATGGCCTTAACTGTGTAAATGAATCAATTCTTCAATAACTGTTGTAGGGAAATAACGTCTTTTAGGTCATTAATTCACATTGTTTATTGAGACATTCATCAAGGTTAGAAAGACAAACCATCGTGATATTCATCCATTAAAGGGTACTTGCCATAAAGTTTTGAAGAGGCCAAGATTAACAAAAGCTAAGAGCCCGTTTGGTAATACTCAACTGGACTATATTGGCTGATTCTGCTGAAATATACGTAGTATGAAGTTCTGGTTGAAGTAGCTGGATAAGCTTACTCTGCTCATATATGAAAAAATTATATTTAAAATATATATTATTGATTAAAGAAATAAACAATTATATGAAAAATAGATAAAATGGTCTTCTACAGTAACTTCAACCAATATAAACAGAAAAGTAACTTCAACCTTACTTTTCTTATTATTACACAGTTCAGTGTGCAAAATCAAAAGTTAGATATTTGGTGAAAATGTTGGCTAATAAGTCTAATAAACCGAAAAACAGAGCCATCAAATGAGCACTAAAACTACAAAATATACAAATACTAGCTACTACCAAAATAAAAGACAAATACTCCCTCCTTAGTTGAAAGATCACTACATTTGGCTTTGACACAATATTTAACAAAGAAATAGTAGGGGTGAATCGATAATGAATAAGGTGAAAAAATAAGAGAGAATGGAGAAAAGTAAAGAAATGATAAAAAAAATAGAAAAAGTAATTAAGGGTAATTGAATATTTTCAAAGGTAAAATTTGTCAAAAAGAAAAAATGTACTTCCTCCGATCCTAAATAAATTTCACACTTTCCTTTTTGGGTAGGTCCAAAATAAACTTCACAATTCTACTTTGAAAAATTCTAAAGGTACACACTTTTTTGTGTACACACTTTTTACACATGTTTGTGTAGGGTTTTTTTTGTCCATACAGACAAAAAAAACCTTACACAGAGATGTGTAAAAAGTGTGTACACAAAATGTGTGTACCCCAAGCAAATTCCTTCTACTTTTGGAAAGTTTTTAATATAAAGTTACCATTATACCTTACTTTATTATCTACCTAACACTCAGTTTCTCTTGCCAACTACACTTTATCTACTTTTTGTAGGGATATGATAGGAAAGTCAAAAAAAAACATCTATTTTCTTAAAAACTGTAATATCAAACCATAAAAATTATTTAGGACCGGAAGGAGTATTAATGTTTTTAATGCATTCCAAATATAAAAATGTAGCAAATTTGAAACAATGGGAGAGTAGTAGTCTTTTATTATCTGTGATTCTTAATTTTAAAAAATTGAATGTTCAATTTCTGCTTGAGTTATGGCCATCACATGATTGTGCTTTGCCCTCGAAAATTGATTCACTCCCTGTCACCATCCTCCCGCACATGTCGCGGTGAAAAATAAAGAGTATTACTTGTCAAGTAATACTATTTATTGTCACTCCATCCTTGAGGGCCCCTCAATCCCGATCGAACGTTACATTGAGAGGATGTAAATTGGATTATAATATCAATCTGACAGATAGAGAGTGAGACTCTGTCTCCGGTACTTGCAGGGGCCCTATATACATTTTTAGCATAGTAATCCTTCATCGTAGGGGTTAGGATTCGAACCCGGGACCTAACCCTTGTAGCACTCCCTTGCTAGCAGTTGAGTTACGCCCACCCGGTAGAGTATTACTTGCCAAGTTGGGAGTATAGGTAGATAGATTTGCTCAAAATCAGAATTTTGTGAGAAAATTAACGCTCCCTCCATCTCAATTTCTTTTGCAAAATTTCTTTTTTTGGTCGTTTCAAAATGTTTTTGAACTTTCTATTTTAAGCAAAGGGAAATGAATAAAATGACACATATGCCCTTAGACTTTATTTACCCATGTACATAGATACTAATTCCCAACCACTCTCATGTACGCCTTCCTCATGCTCAATACTGTTCGAGCTTCTCTTTCTTCCCCTAAAAATTCCAGTTTCAGATTTGAGTGAGCTTCACATAAACCTTAGTACGGACGGAGTATTTCAATTATCTTCCAGATTTTAAAGAAGATGAGAGGCCCTGGGAATCGTCCCTATGAGCCAATGTTGAGGCGTGTGAAGTACGGAGCTACTGAAGTCCGCTCTGCAATTTGCTGGATTGGCCGCCGACGGTGGCGCAGTTCTCGTCGAGCGACGACTCCGGCTAGGGTATTCTCTCCGGATTCCGCATCAAGCTGCTACGACGTCAAGGAGAGGGCCTTCTGGTATGTGGTGAGAGGGAGAAGAAGATGGTTCTACAAATCTAAAGCTGAAATGGGAGAAGAGAAGACGGAATCCCCATGTGAGGGCAAGAGAGCAAAGGGATCAATTGAAATCACCATTGTTGTTCGGTTGAAAACAACAAAGATGAGTGAAGAGATTGGTTTCAGGCTTTCCGCTTTGAAAAACGAAGTACTCCTGTATCAATTGTACTTGATGCTTCAGTTTTCACGTAACATTTGAGATTTTTCCTTCTTTTGATAAAAAGGTAAAATGGTAAAGCCAAATTTTATTTCTATATTTCCTTGATCCTTATGCTGGTCAAAATTTGCACTTCAATTCATGACGGAGGAAGTACTAGTACTCTCTTATTTAGTGCGGTTAACGAGCAGCCTAATGAGCTTCCAAACTCGAATCCCAGCTCAGGTTTAAGTTTGAAAAATTAATCGAGTCAAGCTCGAACATAGTAGTATTCAATTGGTTCGAACTCGAGCCTATCGAACATCCTGAAATTATAAATATAATTTTTATATATGTCAAAATTTAAATATAACTAGTACTGCTTCTTTTCCTTATTTAAGTTCCTTTAAGTTCCCGCTTTCCTTTTTGGGGTGTCCCAAACAAGTTCACACTTCCTTATTTGGTAAACAAATCTACACCAAAACAGTGCAAAACAGTGTCATAACAGTGCAAACCAGTGCCAAGCCTTGTCAAAACAGTGCAAATCAGCGCTAAACAATGTCAAAACAGTGCCAAATAATGTACTATACAGTAAAATTTACCTCTCAGAAACTTTATTTTCTTAATATGTGTGAATTCAAACTAGGAACTTAAATAAGGTACGGAGGAAGTATAATTTTATGAATTTACATATAATTACTAACGAACCGAATATTTGTCGAATCATTCGAGCACGAGCCTATTAACAAGCATCACCTAAAATTTTAAATTCGAGCATATTTATCGATCTTATTGAGCACTTGGTTCGAACATCGAACGCCTACCGAGCTGAACACAAGCCTCATTTTTAAAGCTCGCCGAGCTTCTAGGCTCGAACCCGAACATCATTAATTCCCTATGGACCCGAACTTGAGCTTTGAGTGTTCGGGCTTGGCTCGTTAACAGCCCTAGACTCGTACCTATTAAAGAACTAAAGATTTTTACTAGCTATGATCAATCCAAATAAGATCAGACTAAATCATATCAGACTATATCAGAGTAGATTTGAACAATTATAAAATACACAAAAATCAGACATTTATGGGACCAAATCAATTCTGAACAGAACTAGAAAAAATTAGTTCAATTAAAAGCATCTTAATAATCATAACTATTCTAAAATGTGGGTTTAGAAGGAATGCACATTGTACTAGACTGTTATTAAATTTTAGGAAAAATGTATAATGGTATGAAATAATGACAAAAATAATACTACAACCTTTTCAATAGATAAAAATGAGACATCAATATCATTTGGACAAAAAAAGACTAAACTAATTAAATGTTAAGACTGGAATGTCCGTCATGAGAAAAAATCGATTCTTTTCTCTAGCTATTCTCTCTAATGCAACATTGCAGAAGTGGACGTTGTTGCCTTCTTCCACCAGTTGCTGCACCTGTACGTCGTCAACTTCTCAACGCTACCTCCATCTTCACGTCCTTGTCGCTAGCTTCCAGGCAGCCGCAACCATTCCACGCTGACACCACAAGTGCACCACTCTTTTTTATTCTTCTTTATCTTCTTCTTCGAAGGATCTCTAAGCCAACGGGTGGACCCAGGAATTTTCGATTGGCGGAGTGATAGTGTAAACAATTCATATAAATACATACTATCCTCCATTCTTTAATTCGTGCAACACTTTGACTTTCATGTTTGCCAACGCACAATTTTGACTGTCAGTGGCGGACCCAGGAAAATCATCATGGGGGCGAAAATATTTTTTGGGGGTTCAAAATTATTTTTTTGGGGTTCAAAATTTTTTATAATGTTTACTAAGTAGTAATATATAAGTAAATATAATTACAGTCAACAGGGGCGGACCGTAGTACAGACCCAGGGGGCGGACCGTATATACACTAAAAAATCTTGTTGGGGGGGAGGGCGGTAGCCCCCTGGGTCTGTACTACGGTCCGCCCCTGTTGACTGTAATTATATTTACTTATATATTACTACTTAGTAAACATTATAAAAAATTGATATTTTGGAAATTCACATTGATATGAATTATATATGCCATATAGAAGGACAATTTTGCTAGGTATTATGCCGTTAGAAAGATCTATATGGCCATTGATTGTTGTGTTACCCCCGTTTGATGGTTAGCGATTTGTATTGCTCTTTCGGGGGTGATCGTTTCTAACTCTAGACGTAGGGTTGATAGTGATAGTTGTTTACATGTAGTTGTTGTGAGTGGTTGTCTCTTGGATTTTGATGTAACGATCCGAATCATAATGATATTAATATAAGCAGTTTTTCCTTTCAAAAAGAAAACATGCTCACTTTTTTTATCAAGTGGGTGTTAAGTTATGTGTTGGGTATTAAGTTTTGTAAATAGGGGCAACACATTGCATAAGCTCGGAAATAGGAATATATACTTTTCATTTCCTAAGTACGACCCTTATAGATTGCACAAAAAAGTACGTAGTATGACTCTCGTAAATTTTTACCCAACTCCCATTCTTTCATCTCCCTCGATTCATATGCTTTCATGGATAATCACTGACATATAAATCATTCTAATGGCATAATTCCTAGCAGAATTGTCAATCATTACTGTGAACCTAAAATTAGAGGTATCAACAAAAAAACAGAGAAACGTAAACAAACATAACGTGAAAACAAAACCATAAGAAATAAAATAACTCATAAAACCAAACTCCCTTTTGCCAATATTCTTGAAATATCATCTTCCAAGCTGTGACACCTCGATCGCTCTAAAGCGACGGTTCAGGAGGGGGGCAGACCGTTGATCTGTCTTCTCCCTTGTTCAGCCCTTTACCTCTCCCTGTCTGCTCGTCGCTCATGCCACCTCCTAATATATCTTCGTCCCTGACAATCTCCAGATTGTGGCCTTTATCCACCAACTCATCCATTGAACTAACGCAGAAAGTTTTGATGCACGCTATCTCTTGGATATCCATGAAGGCCCAACCCCTTCCTGCTTGTATATCTCACTCTTCCCTGCACTAATAATCGTCGAAACACAAGAAGAGAAAAAAAAACACAAGATCGGTGAAGATCTGCGGGAAAACAAAACCCCACGTAGAGGGACAAGGCCACAGCTCTCGAGAGAATTTAAATAGTGAGCATGTTACTACACGTAGAAGTAAATAATTGGTTCTAGATATTAACTATTTCAATATATCATATTCCTTTATATTAATTTAATATATTTATTCAACACATATACCTAATAGGTTACGTTGTTCTTTTCAAAAAAAAAAATGTTACGTTGTTAACCATGTCACTCTAAGTGCATATGAATGAGCATTTTACATACTCATTAAAATTATTGTCTAACTCATACATAAATATCATGTCAAGTATATAAGATTTAATGCATCAAACTTTCTCGTGATATATAAATTATGCACGTTAATCTTTTATGATTTAAAGAATGCTTCAAACTTTCATGTGTTATGATTAATCATGCAGAACCCCTCCCCACCAAGAGCAAATTTAATAATCTGAAAATCATTTGTCTTAATTATCCTTTGATTCAATGTGCAAGTAAATTTATAAAAATCTCTAAGTTATACAAAAGTTCAACTCATTTTACTTTTACGTCATTGTGGAGACGATATTCGTACTTATACCATATATTACTACATTAAATAAATGCGTAAACACTCACATCACACATTAAACCCCAAATATATCAATCAAAATTGAAGTCGAAACATAATTTATTTCTTATGATGTAGCAAAAAAACGTCTCAACATAAAATCCCCTAGATTTTTTATGTAGGAAATAAATATTTTGTTATAGAAATTAAAAGAAAAATATTAGGTGTACACAGAATTAGTACACAATTTGTACACATCTAGCTTCTAATTGCTTGTGTACACAGACAATTCATTTAAAAAATAACAAGATTTTATATAAAAATGCATGTGTACACAATCCGTGTATAATAAATGTGTACGCCAAGAATTCATTAAATTAAAAGGAAAAAGGGGCAAATAAGCCACGTACTAACAAAAAAAGTCAAATAAGCTCTTATATAGGAGGCTCAGTCCGGCTGTCGTCATTTGAAGCGGTTCTCGATGAAAATTTTTGATGCAATTTTTTGAACATATTATTCATTAGGTCTAGTTTACTCATACCAAATTTCAACTAAAACGTCAATCGGGAAGGCATTCAAATGAATTTTTGAAGATAACTGCGCAGTTATGTTCAAGAATTTATTTGAATGCCTTCTCAATTGAATTGTTAGCTGAAATTTGGTATGAGTAAACTAGACTTAATGAATAAGATTCTCAAAAAAATTCGTTAAAAAATTCCACCGCTAACTGCCCCTAATGACGACGGCCGAACAGAGCCTCCTATATAAGAGCTTATGTGACCTTTTTTGTTAGTACGTGAACTTATTTGCCTCTTTTTCCAAATTAAAAAGACAAGTAATAAATGAGCAAAAATTGACAATCTCGAACATACTACCTCCGTCCCGAAAAGTTTTGCCAAACGACTTTTCGTGATCAATGATGACAAACTTTGAGGAATGATTTTAGTTACTCCCTCCGTCCCATAATTTACTTCCGTAATACAAATGGCACACGGATTAAGAAAGTGAGGTTTGTATGGTGGAGAGTTGTGCAGAGGAGAGAAAAATGTATAAGAATTGTTGTGAACCACAAATTCTTTGCCAAAAAGGGAAAGGGAAGTTCTTTTTGGGACGGACAAAAAGAGCAAGTTGGAAGTATTTTCAGGGACAGAGGGAGTATTATATTTGTATACTCCCTCCGTCCCATAAAATAAGTCCCATTTTCCTTTTTGGGCCGTCCCAAAAAATTGTTCCCATTTCCCTTTTTGGAAAGTTTTGTGTGGCTAACATTCATTTACCTTTTTCTTACTCAACCACAACCATACATTTCCACTTTATTCTCACTTTTTCAAACTCCGATCCAAATCAAAGTGGGACTAATTTTCCGGGACGGAGGGAGTATAAATTATAAATTTTATACTTTTATGAAAATATTTTCAATGAGTAATATTTGAATATAATTTTCATATTCTAAATAATTTCGTATTAAAATAAATCATTGCTCAAAATTGATTGTCGTAGATCAAGAAAAGTCAATTTTTCAAATTTTAGGGAAGAGGGAGTAGTACCGGGTAGTATTTAGATGCCACGAATGCGTGACATAATCCAAACGAAAGAGATATGATAATATGTGGCAGTACCCTAGTGGTCAGGCAAATGACACCCTTGTGATTTTATCGACTGCTGTCCACTAAAAAGATATCCCCCAAGAAAGCCTCTCAAAATCTTGAATCTATTCCTTCTTATTTTTCATTTGCAGAAGCAATTTGTCAGAGAAGGAAACAACCATGGCGTGCTGTAGCATGGCTTTAGCTGCATCAGGGGGGTTGGTGACACCTAACGTCGGTACCTCCGCCGCCGCCGCCGCCCAGAAGACTTGTATGTTGACGTTCTCTTCCAAGAACGCCGCAGCCACTTTCCACAGGCGGCTTGTTGTA